AAATCCAGATGGTTAGGACCATTTAAAGTGATTAAAGTCTATCATTATGGAACTATTGTTATTAAAGATCTTAACACTGGAAAGATATTTAAAGATAATGGGTGTCGTTTGAAACACTATTATAAAGGGCACATTCCTCAATTTAAAGAAGTTTTAATGTTAAGTCAACCCAACTAAACAAATGGTCTGTTGGGCTGACGTGAGCTAATCACGTTAAACCAAGCGCTTTGTGGGAGGCAACCCATACATATATGTTTATGTATTACTACTTTGTTTGATAAGTGATAATAATGCTACACAATTGTATTTATTATAAATTAAGTCAAACATTGGTATTGGAGGAAAATTTTAAATTAAATTAAACGAAAATGAAAGTCACAAATTTTGGCCACTATCGCCGATGGCGCCCAAGAAAACGGACTTCAGCGCCCGCAGCACCAATCCGGAGTGCCGAAAGCGCCAATCAGGAGTGCCGGCAGCGCCAATCGAGAGCTCCGATGGCGCCGAGAGCAATTTGATAGTTTAGATGACTTTTGGCAGACTTTAGTGGGATTTTGCTCTGTAATAACGTCTTTTTAAATTCTTAAAAACTGCCTTGGATGACTAGAAACTTCCTATTTTTGGATTCCATGACTTTCAATTCCTGAAATACTTTAAGGTATGGAGTTTTCAATAGAAGAGAGTATATTAGTTTCAACACGCAGAGATTATACGACAAAGTTATTATGAAGAAGAGATTGATCAAGGAGAGAGGTTTTGTTAATCATGGATTGATCAATCTAAGTGCTCCGGTTGATAAGATCATTCTGAAAAAGATGATGAGAGGTTCTATGTTACACTACCGCTGCAGCTGTTGTACCTATAGTAAAGGAGTTTTATGCAAATTTACATGGAATTACCCAAAGATTTGTCTTCGTAAGAGGTAAGGCTGTACCATTTACTCATGCAAGGATTAATGAATTGTATATGATAGAAAATGTTCCAATATGTCAATATACAAATTTTGTCCCTATATGAGATTTGATGCAAGATGTTTATAATTTTTTGACGGATGAAAGTACTATGTGGGAAGTACGAGATGAGGGATATATTAGTTTCTCTGCTTCATCACTTAATCCAATTTCAAAGTCGTGGCATTTCCTTATTTCTGCAAAATTACTCCCTACTATGAAGATTAGTAGAGTCACCAAAGAAAGTGTTATTTTAAATTACTGCATTCAAATGGAAAAACCCATTGATATAGGATCAATCATATTTAAATCTGTTATGGGTAT